TTTAATGAAATAATGCACATGTCTGAAAACGGTGTACATGAAGTAGATATATATATGTATACACAACTTTAAAAAAGCACCGTTCAAAATCTTTTGCTGGATTTGATGAAGTGATGCACATGTCTAAAAACGTAAGAGTTAAGGTCCACCGAAAGATCTGAACAGCCAAACAAAAGAAGCTATAAAAAAAATCAACAGCTAAGAAACTCAAATTCTGAAACATAATACGCCTTACATATATACATTGACTTCATTCCATAATTGATTGAAGTAAGTTTCCAATATGGTCATTTTATTTACCTTTAAAATCAAACGAAACTCCCAAATGTTTTGTTACGTGACAGTGAAACAATTACAGTACACTTAATTGAAACGGACTAAATTGTTCACACGCGTACGTTTGACCTTTCAGTGAGCTTCACATGACAGCTCTGTTAGGCGATACAAAAAGTAGTCTACTTGTTTCGTCTGCTGGATAGGCGAACTACTTGGTAGTGAAGCGGGCGTAAAACCAATCAATCAATCAAGTCTACCTATTACTTGTCCTCGTGTCTGAATCAACCGCAATTTCGTACTCATGTCGGTATTGAAGAAAAACTGTTGACATTACCGAGGATTGTCAACAAGTGCACAATTCACATAAATGGAAACGAAAAACTAGCAAATGAAGAAAAAAAAAGAGGAAACATTTGTGTACAAATTTCGCCTGTCGGGAATGGCCATCATCGGTTTCAAAGCGAGAACAGTGGTCTAAGTGTTCAAGAAATATAACTCAAACACACTGAGATCTCTCAATTTAATTAGTTAATCTTACTTAATTATATTGATAGTAGGCCTTTTATTATATTTTTGTGTTGTTTAATTTAGGTTTTAGTCGAGGGTATTTGTTTTCAACTTGTATCGTCTAGTCATAAGTTTCAGCGCGTTACGTGTTTCCGCGCATCCATTTTATCATGCTATATCTCGTAACTACGTGACCTGCTGGACACAACACAAGGATATTTTAGACGTTTGGCAATCGTCTGTAAACTGACACAAATATTTTCGGAAATTCATTCGGAAAACATTCGAAATAATAACTGATTAAAAAACACGCATAAATATTCAGTTTTGCTTAATGCACTTTTTATCTTGCTCAAAATGAACCCATACCTGAAAAAACGGTGATATAATTCATTCATGAGCCGATCTTTGTGTAGTCTGACAAACGTGCGAAAATGTCGTATGCTAATGAGGCCACATCTCATCGCCGATTTTTTTCCACTTCCGAAGAGCCAATGAGACATTCTTATATCGATAAACACTGTTTGCAATGAAACGAAGACCTTGTAATGCAATGACATTCCAATTTTCACCAATTTTAAACAGAATAAAATGAGAAATAACTCGCCATCAACAAAAACTGTATAAGACTGCACAATAAAAAAATAACAGATTCTATCATAACTAGATAAATATAATAAACAAATTTATAAAACTACAAAAATTCGTTCAAGATGACATATTGAAAAATCAATGAAAAACGTGAAATTTTCAAAATTTTGTTTTTAAAATTAATTTGACGACCAAAGATTAAAAAAAAATCCAAACCAAACGAAGGTTTTGTTCTTGCAGGTCACTGTAGAGAATTTCTTTTAAATCTATTCGAGTTATCTTTCTTCGAACACTAGTAAATCAAAACAGACACGCGGAAACATTATGGCTACTACCGACGGGTAAAATTTGTTAAAAAATGTTTGTTCTGATTTTTTTTTATACAGTTTTATATTGCTATTGCTAGTTTTTTGTTTCTATTAGTAGATTGTGTACATGTCTATGACATTCATCTGCAATTTCAACAGTATTCTACTGTACCGATATGAGTACGAAATCGCGGCTGCTTCTTAAGTGCGCGCAGAAACCGGTAACACGAAGATACATGTATTATTTTTCACAAATCGGTATCAAATGCCAAAACAGCGGCCAATGTTTGCACGGCATCAAAATGAATATATATTTAAGTTTATACCGTACCTGAATGTATCCGTTAACCTCTCAGTTCATCTCCTCCTTATCGGACGTCGGTGTTTTTCTGACGCAACTATGACGTCATCCGATTCCCTCTGACGTTTTTAAAACAATGACGTCACGAGCCCTTTCCACGTAGGCTTACAATGTAGTTAAATTAAGATTTTTGCAATATGAAATCATCTGAATTTTTTCATTCATATCTTATCAATGCAGAATTAAGATTGCACAACAAAGAAACAAGTTAGTGTAATATAATTACGACATAGCAGTTTCATAATTTAACGATAGAATTGTCTGAGTATCTGGCGTATTGACGTACGTAATTTATTATTATCGAGGCCTTGTAGTCTGTGCCAAATCATTCTTTCCCAAAAGAACGGCACTGTATAGATCAATAGGTCGACCACAGTGTTTCCCAACCTGCTTCAAATAATAGTTTACATGACTGTGTTTACTACGTGATTTTAATCGGCTATCATTTATTCTTGTGTTATAATGTATATCACATTACCAGACCTTAAAGCATTACTGAAAGATCATGTTTTTCCCCACTGGAATAAAATATAGTTGTTGACCAGTGTCACATTGTAGCATTCTTCACATAATAAAACCACACATTATAGCTAGTTCCACACGATTCTAACACGTTCGTCACTGCCAATATCCCGCACCACTAAGTTACACGGAAATAACGTTAACCTACGTGTTATTACTGAAAGAATGAAAATGAGTGTGGCATAGAACTTCCAGGCGAAGATTATCGTATATTGTGTGACCTCACAACGCATCAAAATACCGTACGCACTTCGTGAACACATCGGACGCACACGGTGCGCATAACACTGCCATCGAACAGCCGTTCGCCCCGTTGCGCACTTATATGCGCACACAAATGTACCAAAATTGGGAAATATGTGTACGTCGTTAAGCTTGTCTCAGAGCTGTAAGTGTTTTCCTTGCTCATTTTGACAGTCACGCCACGTAGATATAGAGACAACCAACAGGTTTGGAATGTTAAATGACCTTTGGCATTTGTATGGGGATGGATTGGTGGATCTTAATTGACCTAAGTACAAATTGATGGTGTGTATGGACTTTTAGTGTTACCCAATCAGACTGAAATCTGGAGTGGGAATGGTAACGAGCTCGAGGGCCGTACTAAGTAAGAAATAATCAATGTATGTGCATGTATTATGGTGGAATATATAATAAGGATGAGAAAATTTTGGAAAAGTAATTTAGCCAAGGCATATATTGTTTATTGTATTCTAAACATATTTGATAATTATTGAAAACTATATTTACTATTCACTGATAATAATATCATATTCAATAAACTTTAATTATAGTAGATACAGCAATTATAAGTGCATACAAATGCAAGACCACACACTTATAAATCGCGGAGCGCACGAGTGGATGCTTTCTGATTCGTTTGAAAATAATAGTGTGTGGTTTTGCTTTTATCACATACCTTCCGTATTTAGTAGAGATCGATACAAAGATTTTATAAACTTTGATATTTTTTGCAAATACATGTGCAATACAGAACGTTGTATTACTATAACAAGATTCAATAGGTATGTGATAAAAATTCAATCCTATAGTGGAATTCTGATGGAATATTTCAATATTGCTTGCATATTACATGATTGTGCTTACTTATCTACAGATCTATACATAACTATACTTTATGTTCAAACCCAATTTTAATATTCATTGTTTATTATCTGTTATTTTTTGAAATGTATGCATTTCCACTTTCCAGGGAGACGGTTTGTATAGGCTTAGCGTGCCAACTGCCAAATTCCCATTAAATCTGATCGATTCAATGAAATATTTTGAAATGAAACACCACGTACATGTGTAAATAAGGAATGAACGACGTTGTTTTCAATTTCATGCTGGCATGAATGTAAATCGATAACATACATATTCCATGAAGGCCCTTTACTTTCTATTTTTTGTTGTTGTTGTTATTATTGTTGTTGTTGCTGTTGTTGTTATATATATGTAGATATTCATTTTTATTTTTTTATATCGAAGTTTCTGCCGTCAGTACAATCGAGATTGATGTAACGGACTAACATAACCAAAGTGTGTGAGGCGGGAGGAGATGCTTCGAAATGACACTGATCAAATTGCGTTCAAAGCTCTATGAACGCATTTTGTTCTAGTAATGCTTATAAATATACAGGTGGTACTAAAATACGCATAATTAGAAACACGCACAAAAATGAATCATTAAAAACGCAAAGCAAATTTGCATATATAGACTACGTACATGTAGATGCTAATATAACTAAAATTACCTCATAAAAAGTATCTTCGATTCAGTTCTATTCAATTCAGTTAGTTTATTAAAGTATCACGTATACAGGGTACAATTACATAAAACGAGTCAGCTCACCCATCCTTGTCAAGCTGATCCAGTCTACTTTGAGACGTACATGTATGAGGCACTTTCATCCTTCCCTTACTCTCATTGCTATAAATTTATGTAATATATGACATATACAGAATTACATTAAAAACTATAAACAACACAGTTCTCTTACCACGCATTGTCAAAAAAATATATACATCAAATGTAATAAAAGAAGATAGCATGTATACTGTTATCACAGACTTAGATAGCTAATCTAATTCCGTGCTGTTACATAATTATTCAATAGTCATTCACATTGCTTATGGTGCATGATTAATGAGTCATGAAAACATGCTAAAATCATGATGGTTCAAGGGGAAATTTCATTATACACTGTAGTCACCGACAAACTACAAAATGTTTATAAATTTCATTACATTCAATGGAAACCCTGTTCAAGCCCGGAAATTTCAGTGAAATCACTTTTTGAAACAACCTTCTAGTTCAGAGTTATCTGTAGATTTTTTTTATATTTATAACATATACATGTACGGTACCAAACTTTTATAAGTACGAAACCCCTCAAAACAAACCATTGACTAACTGCCCCCGTATGGAGCCCCACACGTATAGGTCATGTGACACCATCTTGTGACAAAATGGCGGCGCCCAGTATGAAAGTTGCAGTGTTATTGCTGTCTGGTAAGTGATAATGACATTCACACTAATGTTGACGGAATATAACTAATTTATGTGTGTATTAAACAACACCAACAACTTTGGATTAATCTCTTTATTTAGTCGGTAAATAGCTCTTTAGAGCTAATGTTATATGTTACAGATACAGATACAGAAGCTTTATTTTACGTCGAATATTATAAACATACAACATAAGCTACGAAGAGCTTGTATTTCGACAAATAGCTCTTTAGAGCTAATGTTATATGTTACAAATTGTCCGACTCTAAACAAATATTATTTGATTTGATTTGATTTGATCTCTACAATTCAATTCATGTTACCCACAGACTGAAAGATCCAGACCTAGAGTCGGAAACTGTATTGGGACCCGGGTCGTTTCGCCCTTAATCACCGTTCTCACAACGGGTCGTTTCGTCCTAAATTAAGTTCGTTCAAGTGGGGTTTTTTTTCGCCCTAATATAAATACTGTTTTAAGTTATAAATTTCAATTGAAATGTTATTAATGATTTAAAAAGAAAGTATCATGGACTAAAATCTTTTCGCCCTCTAAAAATATTTTTGGGGCAAAACAACTTAATTAGTGCGAATTAAGATACAAGATACAAGCTAGAAGCTTTATTTAGAATCGCATACATATCAACATGGAACATTAGCTCTTGAGAGCTATTATTGCGACAAACATAAGTATATAAAATAACAATAACATGATGTAATAGTATTAGTAGTAATTAAATGAGTTAATATAAATTAAATAGCATAGCAGACATTTTTTTCATTACAGAAAAATACACGGTAATATCACATGTAAGTTAGAATCAATTGCACAATTTAATTTTCTAATGTTATCAATACATAAAATATTATATTAATCCAAGCAATTTCTATCAGTCTATTTACCTAAAAATGCTATACCTGATTTTAACACTAAATGGTTAAAAGTCAGTCAGCAGTAGAGGTACGTGCGACAGATTGAACAGCTACAGATGGGTCCGTGGATCATTCTCCTGAAACCCGGAAAGTTGTCTACCTTCCGGAACTCATTTGGGAGAGTGTTCCACACCCTAGTAGCCTCAAATGTGAATTAAACGACTCGGTGGGAAAACAGCCTGCCACCCTTACATGAAACTTTTTAACGCTCATGATCTGGATTGGTATAATTTGGCCTCATTAGCGATTATAGATAAGATTGACTATTAGATCTCTATTCAGAAGAATATTTATAGTTTAAATAGATTTTCTAAGGATTCAACATCTGTGACCTGCACATATTTCAGTATAATTTGAATTACCTTATGTTCACACTTTTTAGCTTATCATAAAGCTTTGAATATTAAAACACTCTTTAAACTTGATAACTTTGAAACATTTACCGGTAAGTACTCTGTACTGAAATGACCTGCAGCTGTATTTTGACCACCTAGCTTATAGTCTCATTTCATCGCTGCAAACTTTGCTGGACTGACTCATTAATTTAATAATTCTGTATCCAACTCATGATCAATGTAGTTGTATTTATTTTCATTTGTAGATAGCTATAGTCTAACCAGTTTTGCATTTTTCTCCAAAATTTGGATGCGACAGACTCAAGTAGCAAAGTCATGCAGATATAAGAAATACAAAAACAACCTGCTAATGCTTCCCGTTTCAATTGAAAAAAAATTGTCTGAATCTAAATAAAATACAATTTTACCACACATAGGACTGTACCCTCTTTCGTGTTTCTTTTCTTTTATCAGCTAGCATCTCTTACCTGAAGTTTATGAAAACAGCAAAAAAGGTTGAGATACAACAATTCTTTCCAGAAATATATTTTTATAAAATGAATCTGTGTAAAATATGTGAAATCAAATTTACCAGGTAATGTAACAAAAAATACCAGGATTTAGTAACCTAACATATAACTAACTGGTCAATACTGAATCTTGCTTTCAGTGTTTTCCATGGTGCTGGCCAGGCTGGAGGATGATTTGTTGTGTAGCTCTACCAGTATTCCCCCAAACAAGATGGACAGGGCCAAACTGACCATTATATCGAAGTTCCCAAATGATATCATTTTATGGACGCAGACTACAGAATGCCATGGAGTATGTATATATACAGAGGTCCCTAACAAGTCACAGTCTGTTATTCATCTTGCTGTCATTAGTTTTTCTTAAGTTAAAATTACAGGGGTTTTACCAACTCCTATAACATAAGAGGCTGCTGGTCAACCTTTTTTCTATCGGAAAGTATCTCGCCGTGTAAACCTCTAACGCTGTTGGAATATAGTTTTACCAAGTGTTGTTTGTAACTTTTGAAAATAAAATAATGAGAGCAAGGTAAATATGATGATTCTGATAATTTCATGTATAACCAACCTTTACGAGTCACGAATTCTGTTTATTCAGTATAACTTTTTTTTTTTATTATTATTTTTTTATGTTTTATTTATGAGCCACCGTCCATGACCTTTGAATTTCCAGCACACAGTCATACACTCTAATTAGTTTGACAAATTATAAATAAAATAAATAGTAATGGTTTCAAAGAGTTTGGTGCCTAGACTATTTCTTTGCACTGATTGGAGTCATTCATGTTTGAGGTAAACCATTGTATTTATTTCAGTGTATGTTGACTACTGACTGTCATACAATGAAACTGTTGTAACTGATCATGTCTCCAAACAGAAATAATTCTTCAAATTTTTAGTCTGATTTGTGATGAAATCTTTGTAACTGATTATGATAAAGGATTGATGTATTTATTTATTTTTTGTTCAACTAGTGTAAATTAAAGAAAACTGTTGGAATTGAGAGCAACACCAACTGTACTGTGAGTCTGGATACAAGATGGAAGATGCAGTACCAGATTACGCATGATGTTGACAAAGCTCATCCCCCGCAAGAGGGCAGCTGTCCGTAAGTTCACACATTGATTTATTGTAAGAGGTGTTGTAAGAGGTGTTGTAAGAGGTGTTGCAATAAAAGGTGTCCACATTTGTATGTAACAGATTACAGTTATCACTGACGTGATATTTTGTATTGTAGTCGGTCATCTTCCTGGTCATTGACATGTAGTGTAGTTAAATGTCATAGCCAGGATCAAATCATTTCACTGGGATGTTACTCCAAGCAATGACTTTTGGATGGCTGAAATGTAATGGCCTCTTGCAATATGGTTGAGCTGACATTAAATGTTTACCTTTGCTGGCAGCTTGTCCATACAGCTCCATCTCTCTAATACTTAAATGTCCAACAGTCGTCAAACTTCATAGGGGGATAAATCTTGAGGAGTACATACTACATTATACATGTATAGCAAATGTAGGTCACTGTGACCTATATTTTCCACTGGCCTGATTTGGTTTGACTTAACATATACTGATCAATAGCTGTCTTTTTTTGGGGTATACTTTGGATTTAGATCCATTTCCATCAAAGAGGAAGCAGGACATATACATGTATATGTTTTCAACATTTTCTAGATTGAATGATTTTTTTTAGCTAGATTGCATTGGTTCATGACTAGACTGAATGGTGCATAATATTCTCATGTATAATACATTGACAGAACTTTGGAAAAAAAAGAAATTCTGGAAAAATATCAGTATTAGTACTATAATCTGTACAGAGGAAGGGATATAAAATAAACTCATCTTTAGCTATGCTATATCTATACACCTGTGGTAATGATAGTAAAGAGATAAGGAAGTGTCTAGGGAGGGCATTCTAGATGAGATAAGACTTACATTACAGAACTGACTAAGAGATAAGAAACACTAAATGACAGGTGTGATAGGGGGTATTGACTTGTGTGATAGGGTATTGTCAGACATTTCTCACATAAGCCAGAACACATTCATGTATATACAGTATATTACCTGTCAAAACTGTTCTCTGTCTTATATATATATATATATGTATAGTAGATAATAAAGAAATAAGTCCTTGCGAAGGAAAATATAGAATAAAAACATAAATTTTTCAGATCGTCCGCTAGGCCTTTCTGCCTTCTAGGGCTTCTTCAGGCGGATTGATCCTATACATATATATATATATATAATTTTACTGTGTCTAATATAGATATATACACATATATAAACAAAGAAGTATTAATGACCGTACAGGAAAAAGATTTTGTCAAATTTTCAAGACAATCCACCCCTTTTTATCAAGACAGAAACATTAACAATTAAATAACACAATCACAATATATAACACAGAAGATAAACAGTCACCGCGAGATGATACTACATCACAAATTACATAACAGAATACCAGTTATTACTTGCATACAATGCTGTTATTTAATTTGCGATGAAAAAACAGCTACGACAAAATTCTGTTTCACTATAATTGACAAGGCAAAATAAAATGCAATACAAGAAATCTGTTAGATAATGATGCTAGTAAATATTTCTTAAGGGTCATGATCAGACTACATCACAATCACAATATGTAACATGGAAGATAAACAGTCAGCGCGAGATGATGCTACATCACAATCACAATATGTAACATGGAAGATAAACAGTCAGCGCGAGATGATGCTACATCACAATATACAACACAGAAGATAAACACTCACCGTGAGTTCATACTACATCACAAAATAAATAACAGAAAACCAGTTATTACTTATATACAATTCTGTTATTTAATTTGCGATGAAAAAACAGCTACGACAAAATTCTGTTTCACTATAATTGACAAGGCAAAATAAAATGCAATACAAGAAATCTGTTAGATAATGATGCTAGTAAATATTTCTTAAGGGTCATGATCAGACTACATCACAATCACAATATGTAACATGGAAGATAAACAGTCAGCGCGAGATGATGCTACATCACAATCACAATATATAACATGGAAGATAAACAGTCAGCGCGAGATGATGCTACATCACAATATATCACACAGAAGATAACAGTCACCGTGGGATTAAACTACATCACAATATATAAAACAATAGATAAACAGTCACCATGAGATGATGCTACATCACAATATACAACACAGAAGATAAATAGTCACCGTGAGATCATAGTACATCACAAAATACATAACAGAAAACCAGTTATTACTTATATACAATTCTGTTATTTAATTTGTGATGAAAAAACAGCTACGACAAAATTCTGTTTCACTATAATTGACAAGGCAAAATAAAATGCAATACAAGAAATCTGTTAGATAATGATACTAGTAAATATTTCTTAAGGGTCATGATCAGACTACATCACAATCACAATATATAACACAGAAGAGAAACAGTCACCGTGAGTTCATACTACATCACAAAATACATAACAGAAAACCAGTTATTACTTATATACAATGCTGTTATTTAATTTGCGATGAAAAAACAGCTACGACAAAATTCTGTTTCACTATAATTGACAAGGCAAAATAAAATGCAATACAAGAAATCTGTTAGATAATGATGCTAGTAAATATTTCTTAAGGGTCATGATCAGACTACATCACAATCACAATATATAACACGATGCCTTGTTTTGTTTTATTTTATTGTTGAAGCATATAATAAAACAGTTATGGGCTTTTGTGCTGGTAAATATGATGTGATATGAACCTGAAAGAGTGATATTGACTGAGGCGAAGCCGAGGTCAATATCACTCTTTCAGGTTCATATCACATCATATTCACCAGCACAAAAGTCCATAACTGTATAATATACAGTTAACACAGAAGATAACCAGTCACCGTGAGATGATGCTACTTCACAATATATAACACGATGCCTTGTTTTGTTTTATTTTATTGTTGAAGCATATAATAAAACAGTTATGGGCTTTTGTGCTGGTAAATATGATGTGATATGAACCTGAAAGAGTGATATTGACCTCGGCTTCGCCTCAGTCAATATCACTCTTTCAGGTTCATATCACATCATATTCACCAGCACAAAAGTCCATAACTGTATAATATACATGTAACACAGAAGATAACCAGTCACCGTGAGATCATAGTACATCACAAAATACATAACAGAAAACCAGTTATTACTTATATACAATTCTGTTATTTAATTTGTGATGAAAAATCAGCTCCGACAAAATTCTGTTTCACTATAATTGACAAGGCAAAATAAAATGCAATACAAGAAATCTGTTAGATAATGATGCTAGTAAATATTTCTTAAGGGTCATGATCAGACTACATCACAATCACAATATATAACACAGAGGATAAACAGTCAGCGTGAGATCATACTAGATCACAATATATAACATGGAAGATAAACAGTCACCATGAGATGATGCTACATCACAATATATATAACACAGAAGAGAAACAGTCACCGTGAGATTCTACTATATCACAATCACAATATATAACTCAGAAGATAAACAGTCAGCGCGAGATGATGCTACATCACAATCACAATATATAACATGGAAGATAAACAGTCAGCGCGAGATGATGCTACATCACAATCACAATATATAACTCAGAAGATAAACAGTCGCCGTGAGATCATACTACATCGCAATATATAACATGGAAGATAAACAGTCACCGTGAGATCATACTACATCACAAAATACATAACAGAAAACCAGTTATTACTTATATACAATTCTGTTATTTAATTTGTGATGAAAAAACAGCTACGACAAAATTCTGTTTCACTATAATTGACAAGGCAAAATAAAATGCAATACAAGAAATCTGTTAGATAATGATACTAGTAAATATTTCTTAAGGGTCATGATCAGGTTTAGATATGTATCTTCCTCTGGTAAAATATTGATCTGGTCAGATTTATAGCTAAATTTGACCTAGTGTTTTCAGCTTATCAAAGATGGAAGAGGGACAGATTTTAAGTACAATAATGTGTGTTTTTTGTGAATCAAAGCTGATTAAATTTCAGCAGTTATACTGAATCATTAAACATCTCAATATTTTTTTAAGGAAAGTGACTTTAAAGTTGGATGAATATGGTATCTACTACATCTATGTCCAAAGAAATCCTCATAACAGTTCCTTCATCAAATGTGATGCTGCACTGCAGATGAACATGTCAGCTGATAGTAGCATTCGTAAGTGTTTTGTCAGGAACGGGGGTATGATTTAAAACAGAAAAAATGTTATGTGTTGAGACAGGAATACTTGTATGTCTAGAAAGGGACTTTGTATGTGATGGAACAGGAACCATGATAACAGTTGGGAGAGGAACATGTAAGTGTGAGACAGTAACTGTGTATATAAGTATTGTAACATAACTGTTTAGACATTAACATTTATCAGTGTTGAAACAGGAACCTCCATAAGTGATGAAACAGTCTTTCGTAATTGTTTAGGGCATTGTTGTATTCCGTCTTTGCGTTTTGCAGAGTTATCCCCTCTTGGGAGCAGGTATTGATTGTTACGTCATTGGTTTGTGTGAGAAAATTACGTCGTTTTCTCAAAAATTGATGACGTTACTCTCACAAACAAGTGACGTAACAATCAATACCTGCTCCCAAGAGAAGATAACTCTGCAATACGCAAAGACGGAATTGTCGTTGTCACAGATTTTTTGACAACTCGACGACTAAAAGAACTGAGGTATGACATGTGAATTTAATTCATCGTGGAAGATGGAACAGTCTGTTGTTAAAAAACATCATGGATATCAGTGAGAGGAATCATGAGATTATTGTATATCAGTGAGAGGAATCATGAGATTATTGTATATCAGTGAGAGGAATCATGAGATTATTGTATATCAGTGAGAGGAATCATGAGATTATTGTATATCAGTGAGAGGAATCATGAGATTATTGTATATCAGTGAGAGGAATCATGAGATTATTGTATATCAGTGAGAGGAATCATGAGATTATTGTGTTCAATCGTTACACTACAGTGTCTAAGAAACAACTCTTGTCATGTTTAATCATTATAATGTCTGTGTAATGTTTAATTATTACATTTTCAACTGCTCAAGAATGATTATTTATAGGAAAGTCTGATTTACTATGAAGAGTAGATGTGTATGAGGATACATTTTTGAACTATTTTTAACTTTATATTCTCTAGCTATATATGTGGCCATAGGGATCTTTGTAGGCGTGGCGTTGATCTGGGTGTTCGCTATCAATTGTCACAGGTAAGTATGAGTTGACCTGGCCCAAGGACTTACCTCATCTTGTCTATATGCTTTTGTCATCTTTTTCGTAGATAGATTCTTTAAAATGATTTAGAAATGTTCCTCTCATTTATTTACCGTGGTGAACTTTGTCCTAATGAATGTCACTGACTTCCATTTCATTGCGGTTTTACACTTTTTGAAAACATAACAGATTTTTCTTAAAGAATCATGATAATTTTGTTTCTGTAGAAAGTTGGAAAGTTGGTGAAGCTAAGCAGGCAAATAAACACTTGTTAAAGGTGTGATGCTGTGTGATAGACATCTGCTATACATAGTACAAGTTTTACTTTGATGATCCTGTATATATATCTATTGGTATCCACTCTAAGAGCAGGAACCCCTGTCACTCAAATTCAGCCTTGTTTCTGTTGTAGACGACACTGGTGGAACAGAATGTTACTAAGTGCTGGAGCAGAGCGCCTGATAGATCCGGTAGGTGATCTTACTCTCAGTATATACTTATAGTTGCCTTGCTGTTTAGTTTATGTCTTACCCAACATACAAAACTATAAGTTATATGATAAATGCACCATTGCTGCCTCTGCCTGATCTTTATAAGAACCTCACATTTTTTATTTAAGCCTGCATGTGTCACACATTGTCTGTCAACTAAACTAATGCATTAATTGATTAAGACAGACTATATAAAGAGTTATAGCCTTTCTTCCACCATGCATTACTTTATCTGGAATATGTCTAATATGTCTTGGGATGGTCGCGTGTTGGTTACTGAAGTTGGGTCTCCTGCACGAATATACAGAGTTATTGCCCTTTTCATGTTTTATACCAACATTTGTGTCTTGAGGGGGATTATAGATTACTTTCAATCATTTGCTTTGTTAATTAAAACATCCAAGGAAACCTTTGGCTTTTGTCTGATTGTTCATCAGGAATATCAAACTACATTTGAACACAATTTGTTGGCAATGTGTGTTTTGATTGGTAACGGTTCATCTTCTAATCAATGATGGAAACATGATTTATAGATGTTAACCCCACTACCACCACAATAAGGCCACATCCCATTTGTAACCAGAGAAAAACGATGATTCTAGCATGTAACATAATTACGCCATGTTGTTTTATTGAAGAAAAGGATGATACAAATTGACTGTATTTGTTTAATATTTATTTAAGGATTGGACAACCAATACTTATATTTGCATTTTATGTTGATCAACTTACAGTTCACACAGAAATAAAGACATAATATTAGTCTGAACACGTTTCAGCGTCAGGGTAAATCCATGCAGAGAACAGCCACCAGTAGACAATGGAGCAGTGCAATCTCCAACGTTACAGTTATGATGTCATAAACGTAGCGACGTCACAATGGCCCAATGTATGTTATAAGGAATTAACATACATTGGGCCCAGTATAGTCCGAATTATTCTGACATTTTATCGACTTTTTTATATCGGCCTGTCGTCGTTTAACATCAGAACTCCAGCCCTCTATAATATGCGGGAAATATGCGACCCGCGNAACGTACATTTGGCCCAGTATAGTCCGAATTATTCTGACGTTATTGACTTTTTTATATCGGTCTGTCGTCGATTAACATCAGAACTCCGGCCCTCTATAATATGCGGGAAACATGCGCCCCGCGCCCGGAGAGCACTTCAAACTGATATTTTAGAAACAAATCGTAACTTTCACACACATGTCACACATGGATCGAAAGATCTATTCTTTATATGAAGCACAAGATGAACATAAATTACATGCCTCAAACAACCAATACAATCACTAAAAACATATTTTTTCAAACTTGCTCTGTTTTACTCTAGTTTTTTGATAGCCCGCCTTCTAATGCCGCGTGACTAAAATCTCGCCAGCCTACGTCATAACGTTGGGAAATACCTTCGGTAATGCGAGATCTCGTCAAGTCATGTGACATTGCTCATGTCCTAATTTCCATTAAAAACATGGGTTGGTATAGAAAACGTTGGAAAATACTGTTAGAAATGATCTTTGAAACATGTTATTGATACCACCTAATGCATAAAGAATAGATCTTTGGATCCATGTACGACATGTGTGTGAAAGTGACGATTTGTTTCTAAAATATCAGTTTGAAGTGCGCTCCGGGCACAGGTCGCATATTTCCTGCATATTATAGAGGGCCGGAGTTCTGACGTTAATCGACGACAGACCGATATAAAAAAGTTGATAAAACGTCAGAATAATTTGGACTAGGCCCAGTAGAAACATCTAGGCTCTTTGCAGTGGAAATGTAAATAATGAAAATTATTCATTTATTCATTAGAAAGTACTTTCATACATACTTGCACTGATATCAGTGTTTTATTATACACTCAGTAAAGAAAGAAAGTTGAACACTTCCCCTTGAGGACAACCTATATAACAACATTTTTGTAGTATATATGTCAGTGGTGGAAATCCTACCAGTTCAAGCAACATTAAAATCATTCAAGCATGGAAAGCCTGCATTGGCCCAAGATTAACGAAAAAGTTTCTCAAACTACCGCGGGTACTCTAAAAGTATACCAGTGATTGGTAAAAAACACACAATCTTTCTTTCTCCCTATACTAATTGAAAACTCATAAAAATTATCACCAATGCACATTTTTAACGATGGCACGGCTGTTGCACACTCTTTTTTCCTTGAGTTGTTTTACACTTACTGATGTCAAAGGTTGTAGTTTATAAATTTTAAGTGGATTTTGTCAACAATCTTTAGGCATGTTATATTGGATACTAATAGGTTTATCACACTGACACCTTAGGGGGTACAAAGTGGTTGAGGTGTCAGACAATCTGTGATCACTAGCCCTCTACCACTGGGTCACGGGTTCGAGGCCTACTTTGGGGAGTTGCCAGGTTCTGGCTGCAGCTGCTTATAGGATTTATAGCACAAACAAACTTAGCCAAACACTTTACTTATATAGTTAGAGGATGAATGTTTGAACAATATTTATCAAGAAGATATGCAGAATGTTGCTAAGCAACACAAAAACAGCTAGTCTGTAGCTATGTATGCCCTTTTTATTTAAGATTTACTTGTATATTCACCGGGATCTCAAGCTCACTTCAAAATTTGGAGAAGTTCTGCACAACTTAGGTTATCAGGGTACACTTGTTGGCATATATAGTTAACAAAAATAGGAAATCTTGATGCTTAGTAACAATGAGATGAAAGTGTTGTTGTGGTATGAATGTTGGAAGATGTTACTTCCTGCTCTCATAAGTCATTATACTTTCCTCCTCATGGGATAGTATATATATATAATACCAGTCACCTTCAGAATCACCTTGACACTTCCAAACCAAAGTCTATTTTGGGTAAATTTGACCCATTTTCCCTCACAGCCTCTCAATGATACTAAGGAACAGGGAGAACTTATCAAGGGAAAGCAAACAGCAGGCAGTGGGAGAGCTGTGAGGCAGCGCCTTGGCCGCACTAGACAGTCCCAGACTAAGGGGAGGGTGAGTTGTAGGCTTAGACTATTCCTGTGTGGTTGTCACTGTGGGTACCACTGTCCTCCTACCTGGTTGTCAGTAGTCTGTGTGGTTGTCACTGTAGGTACCACTGTCCTCCTACCTGGTTGTCAGTAGTCT